AAAAAATGTTCAGTATCACTAGTCATTCATGAAATGCAAATTAAAACAATGCTGAGATTCCATCTCACGCCAGAAAGAATGGCTGCTATCAAGAAATCAGCCAATAACAAATTCTGGAGGGGCTATACAGGAAAAGGAACACTTTTCCACTGTTGGTGAGAATGTAGACTGGTGCAACCACTGTAGAAATCAGTGTGGAGATTTCTCAAGAAACTAAAAGTAGAGGTTCCATTTGACCCAGCTATACCTCTTCTTTGTATTTTCCTCAAAGAATTAAAAGCATCCTACCACAGGGATATATACACACCCACATTTATACCTATATAGTGTGTAATAGATAAATCTTGGAAACATCCCAAATGCCCATCAATTGACAAGTGGATAAAGAACATGTGTTTTTTAATATACAATGGAGTACTACTCTGCCATAAAGAAGGATGAGCTTCAGACACTTACAGCTAAATGGACGGACCTTGAGACCATACTCTTAACTGAAATAAATTGGACACACATGTTTAAATACCACATTGTTTTTCTGGTGTGAGAAACCAAAAGTGGAAATAAGGACTGAAATATATAATGGATGTTTGGAAATGGGAAGAAAATGTTCAAATGGGAAGGAGAACAAGGGGGGAGGAAGGGGGAAAGTAAAGAAGGGACAAGAAAAAAAGTGAAAATAGAAGGAAAAAATGGAAAGAAAGCTTTTGTACGGGGAGAGGTTTCTTGAGGGGGGAAATGGTTTAAAATAAAATTTATTTAAAAGTAAAAAAAAAGATATTTAATATAAAAGATTCAAAAGCAGCCTGGCCCAGCTTGGCCCCTGATGATGTAGGTCAATGCATAAGTCCCAGGTTGATTCCCCCTACCCAGTATGGGCTGGGGGAGAAGAGGAAGAAAAAGTGAGTTGAAATTGAATTAAACATTACAGAATATATCCATATATTGGAAAATAATGTCAACCTATTAATACGCCAATTTTAGATTTTAAATTTTCAGTTAAAAAGTTTTAAAAAGTTAGTTATGAACCTCTTCCTATATTTCAGGTAAGAAATTTTCCACAATATTTCTGAACAAAATCACAAAATATCTGGCTCATTTGTGATCTAGGGAAAACAAATACCTAGGACCTTTGTATTTGCAGTAAACCTCTAGATAATCTGTAGCTGTTTTTTTTCTAATTATGTATGAGGAAACAGAATTGTACTATGGATCCATTTAATCAATCTATCAGCCTTAACAATTGTCAGTAAATTTCCAATTTTTTTAAATCTAGACTCCATCCATTCTAACTTTCCTTCAGGCAGTTTTACCTTTTCTTAGAATTAATTTGATCTCAGCCATTTTTGTATGTCTATCTAAAAGATAAATGATTCTATGGACCAGTCATGATTGCTTTGATTTAAAAATTCTATCTGAGGGCTCTAATACTCAATCCCAACTCACAATGAGCACTGGTGAAAGTAGGTGCAGACTTCACATTAAAAAGAAAAAGATTAGGGCTGGAGATTTAGCTCAGTGGTTCCACCTCCTGCCTCGCAAGCACAAAGACCTCAGTTTGATCCCCAGTACCAAAAATAAATATAAGAATTGATTAAAAAAAAAAAAGTAAAAGATTAGATGTCCAAGATGTATGATTTAGCACTCATTTCCTCTCTGCTTTGTAGTAAATTCTGTACAAGTCACGTACCCACCAGTGATTACAAAGTCTCTCTCACAAGGATAATAAAATAAAATTTAAGGCATTTCGGGGAAAAAAAAGATAAAATATTAAACCATATAAAACCCACACATGAGGCCCTAAGTTCAATCCCCAGCATCACAGAAAACAAACTTCCCCCACAAAACTATGAAACCTTAATATTTATGAAAACAGTCTTCTCAAAAAGAAATACATCAAGTTCTTCAAAGGCTCTTAGTGTTGTAGATCTCTAATCCAGCTGTTTTCTAAATAGCAAACTGATTGATTGCAGTGCTGGGATGGAACCTAGAGAGTCATGCATGCTAGGCAAGCTCTCTACCACTGAGCTGTCCACGTTCCTCAGCCCTAGTTATCTCCTTGAAATTCACCAATGGAGTTGAGTATTTTTATGCAAAATGCCTAGAAGCACTGGGAATGTGGGTCAGTGGTAGACAGCTAGCATACACAAGGTCCTGGGTTGGATTTCCAGCACCAAAACAGCCCCTCTCCCTAAACATTAACATTGTTTCCAGTGCTTATAACTGGGAATGTTTTGGATTTTATATTTTTCCATTTTGGGAATTCAGTAGTTGCATATATATATATATGTATATATATACACACACACATATATATATAGATATATATGTCTGTCTGCCTATCTATCTATCTATCTATCTATCTATCTATCTATGGCCTGGAGTCAGCTCCCTAAGCTCTACAGTCTGACCCTATGCCATCACCATACACATATTTTATATATAATCATAATTCTGTACTTTCTTGGAGGATAAAGGGTTTTCTTTTTCTTTTCTTTTCTTTTCCTGAGACAGGGTCCTGCTGTATAGTTTAGGATAGGCCTGAACTCACTAGCCCAGGGTGGCCTCAGACTCACTTCAATCCTCAGCCTTCCAAGTGCTGGGATTACAGGTGTGAGCCACTGTTTCCAGGTGAGGACAAAGATTTTCTAATGGTTACAGCTGGCTCATTGCGTGTATGTACCAGTGACTAAATGCAACCTGTATTAAAAAGGAACAAAAATGAAAATCCAACACAAAACTTTATAGATAACTACATTAAGAAGAAAAGTCTCAAGTAAATGACCTCAGCTCCTCTCCCACCTATTAATCCCTAAGAGAAATCCTAGTATAAATTGATAAAGAAACAAAGCAAGTTTATTTAGGTTTAAAGAATTGCAATTTAGAGCCAGGGATGGTAGTGAATGGCTGTAATCCCAGCACTTGGTTGGTTGGTTTTTTGTTTTGTTTTGTTTTTGTGATACAGGGTCTTGGTATGCAGCCCAGGCTGGCCTTGAACTCCCCCAAATCCTCCTACCTCATCTGCTCCACCACACCTAGCAATTCCAGCACTTGGGAGGATGAGGCAGAAGGATTGCTCAGAGTCCAAGATCAGCCTGGGATACATAGTGAGTTTGAGGTCAACCTGAACTATAGAGTGAGACCCTGTCTCAAAACAAGAATTGGAACTCAGGAAACTCAAAAGTTCAAGCACATTGAACATGTACTGTGGGTCTTAGAGTTCAAACAAGTTTTAAAGGCAAAAACCACAAATGGGGAGGAAGATTAGATCAGTTGTGTGTCTAGAGTTTGGACTGGTGCAAGTAGAGGTGCAAGCAGTCTTGTAAGAAGGGAATTGGTTTAGAGTCTACTTTAAGCATTCTCAGAAAGGGAGGGGGAGGAGAAGAACAAAGACATTCGTGGGAAAGGAAGGTGGGTGGGGATGAGATGACCCTGGTGACTACCTGTGGGATTAGAACACTTGCTCTAATGAAAATTACAACTCTCATAATGTGAATGACGGGATGGAGCAAGATTTGGCCTGGTGTAGTTCAATCTGTGAGAAAAGGATATACAGCTTGCAAAAGACCTTGTCTCAAAAAAAGAAGAAAAATAGTTTTTCATAGTTTTAATAAATGTAAAATCTTTAAAAAAAGAGGGCCAGGGATTTAGCTCAGTGGTTTTGCCACCTGTTGAGCAAGCACAAGGACTCAAGTTCGATCCCTGGTACAAAAAAAAAAAAAAGAAAAGAAAAGGGAGGGAGGGCCCTGCAGGGAGGATGGGAAAAATCTCAGTGAGAAGCTCCTAAATTCAATTCTCAGTACTGAAGGAAAAAAAAAATCACAAAAGAAAACAAAGAAAGTAGAAGAGTAAAGGGCTATTGGTATAGCTCAGTGATAAAAAGCTTGTCTAGTATGCCTGAGACTCTAGGTTTGAACCCCAGCATGTACAAAAGTTTCACTGTTGCCAACACTTTTTTTCTTTTGCAGTGCTGGGGATTGAGGGAGTGTATTGCATTCCTAACTATTCTTGCGTGTAGTTTAATCAGGCCAGAAAAAAGAAAACAAATCTAAGTCTGGGAAAACAATTTAACTTGTGCTAGAAAGACTTTTGAGAGGGAAATTAATCACCAATGTGGCACAGTGCAATTATGTATTTCAGGATGTTATTTTTTAATATGAATTCTTTTTCAAATTGCTTAGATTTACTTTGTTTTGGGGTTTTTTTGTTTGGTTGGTTTTTTTTTTCTGGTACTGGAGCTCAATCCCAGGGTCTCCTGGGATGCTAGACAAGTGCTCTGCCACTGACCCATACCCCTAGCCTACTTTGTATAGACATTCCTTGTTTAATGATCGAGTTCCCTTCCTGTGACTAGTTCATTAAATGAGGAATTGTTTGTAGTATGTACATTGCAATATTTAGAGAAAAGAAATGGTTAAAGAAAACTACAACTTGGGCCAGGGATTTAGCTCAGTGGCGCTGTGCCTGCCTTGCAAGCGCAAGGTCCTGAGTTTGATCCCCAGTACCAAAAAAAAGAAAAAACTACAATTTGATTATTTTGATTTCATTTGCATAACTCTTATATGCAGTACTGTAATGTATAACAACATAAAACTACAGTATGGTACTATACTGTACAATCAGCAAAAATTATAATACTGTATAAACAAGGTATACTGTGCAAAACAAGATATTGAGGCTGTATAAACAAGATATACAGTACTGTACCAAAAAAAAGATGGCTTGTAAGTCTGAACTGTGTGCCTCAGTCATAAGTACAAACAGTTGTTACATGGGTAGGTCGTTTAAGGAAGAATATGTGTTGTATTTTATGGTCTCTTTTAAATTTTGCGGGGGGATACCAGGGATCGAACTCGGGTCCTTGCACTTGTGGGGCAGGCGGTGGAAGCACTGAGCTAAATCCCCGGCCCCTCTCCTTTAAGCTTTTAAAATTTAGTAGCATTGTTTTCTTTTCAATGTATTTTATTTTTAAAAAAGAAATGAGAAATGAATACATGCTACAATATGGATGAACCTTGAAAACCCTATGCTAAGTAAAACCAGGCACAGAAAACCCTCCATCATGTGGAACAGAGCTTACAATTGTCCATAAGGGTCCTCTTCTTGCAGATAAGGTTGTAGCATTTACTGAGAATCTGTGGATGCCAGGAGTTACCAAAAGGCTCTTTTTAGAGCCTTCTAGACTGCTGGTGTGGGTGGCAGTGCAGCTGTGACTGCTGCTAGCATTTGCCATCCTCAGGGCGTCTCTTCCAGAGGTTCCCATTCTGTGATGAGAGCCTGGCGGCCTTTGTCCCACCACTGCATAATGTAAGATATGTCAATGTGACCCAGACCTGGAAATTCTTGCTCCTTCTGCTGAGGATGAGGCTGAGAATGGTTCTTTCCCTGCAGGGCTCCTGTGCCACTGTATCCTTTGTCATTTTGGCATTTTTCTTGGTATTGGTAGCAGAAAGGAGCCTGGGTGTCTGAGAAGTTCTCTCCTGGAGTCAGCAGTTTAAGCAAGTGATCCATAAAAGTCAGAGGGAAGTCAGAGCTCTCTCCTCCCTCCATAGCCTGTGTGGGCTGCTTGACTGTGACACTTGGTCCTTGGCTCACACAGACCTGGAAGGGATCCCAAAGCTCAGAAAACACTTGGGAAGGAAGAGGAGCAGGTAAAAATGTTTGCTTGCTGCAGGAGGAACTGGAGGGAGGAAAACTGTGAACCGCACATGGGAGCATGGACAGGTTAATGTGTTGCTGCTGAAGAGTCACATCTGGTCTCTCATTTGTGCTTTCTACCAGGACATTCAGCAGCTCCCTTCTCTGCTCAGAATACAAAGAATTCTGATTCTGAAACCACATCTAAAGTGAGGAAAAGGGAGACATGAACATAATGAAACATAAGCAATTCTAGCTGTGTTTCTTATACTCTAAAGACAGGGAGATATTGCCAAGTGCAGTGGTGCACACATACAATCCCAGCACTATTGGAGCCTGAAACAGGAGGACCACAGGTTTGAGACCAGCACAGGCAACTTAGGAACTTAGTGAGACCCTGTCTCAAAAAATAAAAAAGGGCTGGGGATGTAGCTTTGTGGGTTCAATCCCCAGTGCCACAAAAACAGACAAAAGAAAAGAGGCTACTAATGTAAAGTCTACTCACAGGGTGCTTATAGCAGGTGTGATTGAAAAATATGGTGAATGTTTAAATTTTTAAAAATAATAGTAAATACCACATTGTCATTAATTCTCCTCAAAAATATTCCTCTTCAAAACCACTTATCCATCATTCCTGCCACTTTCTGAAGCAGCTCTGGAAATTCCCTTTCCTCAGTGTCTTTAGCTGGGCTGTCCTGGCTGCCTTGATGTTCAGACTCAGTTCAAAACATTTACCTTTCATTGTCATTTTGACTTTGAGGAAGAGCCAGAAGTACCATTGTGCCAGATCCAGTAAATAAAGTGGATGAGGACACACTGTCACGTATTCACAAGCCTGCTTTTCTGTTGGATAGCAGCATTCACCATATTTTTGATCAGGTCTTGTAAAGATGGTCACAAGAGAGGATTTCCAGAATTTCTTCAGGAAGTAGTGAAAACAATGGGCTAAGTGTGTTGGAATTGAGGGAGAAGATTTTGAGAGGCATTCATGGCATTGTGTCTTTTAGTGTAATAAATTTTGTTTTTTTTCCCTTGCTGCAGCCTGGCTCTGCCACAGACCCTGATCTCTCCCTCTCCCTCCCCCTCCCCCTCCCTCTCCCCCTCCCCGCCCCCCTCTGTAGTTTTTTTTTGGGGGGGGGGTACCAGAGATCAAACTTGGAACCTTGCGCTTTCACAAGGAGGCAGGTGGTGGCACCACTGAGCTAAATTCCCGGCCCCTATGTGTATGTATTTGATGTGTGATCTTGACCTCTGACCAAGGCTTAATAAACACAATAAGTGTTTTGGGGAGTTTCTATGCCACAAAGCCTATGACTGTGCCTCCTATATCTTGAGCACTTACCACGGATGAAATCACTATCATTATCTCTTAGGTATAGGGTAGTCCATGGGGATGATTTCGTCCTTCAAGTATAGGACACTTGACTATATTCTATACATTTTTTTTTTTTTTGGCTGCCATGAATGGGAGTAGGGGAGGTAGGCATGGACTCTACTGGTACCTAACTGGCAGAGGTCAGGAACGCTGAAAAATATTCTATGCCCAGGACAGCTCCTCATAAGAAATATCTTATCCCAAAAGACAACACTGCCAAAGTGTTAGAAAACCTAACAGGCTTCTCAAAATAGGTATTAACTTTCAGGTTTCCCCACATTTTTCCTCTTTGTGATTCTAAATGAATACATCTGATTTGGTTTGGAAAAAAATCTTTCTTTGCAGGAATGTAATGTACAGGGTTGGGTATTTACCATCCCAGAATTTTTAATATTTTTTTTCAACACTGGGGATTGAGCCCAGGGCCTTTGCACTATGCCACATCCACTGCCCTTTTTTATTTTGAAACAGGGTCTTACTAAGTCACTAAGTTGCCAGGCTGGGCTTGAACTTGTGCTTTTCCTGCCTCAGCCTCTCATAGTGCTGGATTACAGGTGTGCACTACCAAGCCCAGTTTTGCCCAGATTTCTGCCCTTGATGACTGTGATAACCCAAGATAGCAGGAGTCTCAGGCACCTTCCAGGGCAATGTCACTTTCTGGTGGGACGTATTTGGTGTCACAGATATGTAACTAACTAGAATTGTTCTTGAGACAGTGTCTCGCTATGTAGCTTAAGCTGTCCTTAAATTTGCAATTCTCATGTCTCATGTCACCACCCCTTGTGGTGACAAAACTGTTAAAATTCTCAGCACCCAAACTTCTTTGATAACATACTTCTGTCCAGCAACCATACTGGGTAGCCATGAAATGCTAATGTGAACTAAAAACAGCACAAGATGAAAGTAAATACAAAAACTATGCTTTTCTCCCCTGAGCTAATATTACATCTTTCCTCCAAAAGGTAACACATACAGATACCCTATCTAAATCTCAAGAGCCTTTTTGGAGGCCTAAGCAAGAGTCCTTGACAATTTGCAACTTTAGTTACAATACAGGTGTTTCTGAAAGATTGACAAACAACAGAGGCAGGGGATGTAGCTCAGTGGCGCAGCACCTGCCCAGCAAGCATGAGGCCTTGAGTTTGATTCCCACTAAAAAAAACAAAACAAAGAACAGTATGTCCTGGGAAATATATTTCTAAGATATCTACATTTGCTAACTCAGACCCTTCCTTTGCCCACATCTTCATTCCTTTATAAAAACCCCACTATTGCTGGGGGTGGTGGCACTTGACTATAATTCCAGCACTTGGGAGGCTGAGGCAGGGGGATCCCTATGAGTTTGAAGCCAGCCTGGGCTACATAATGAGTTTAAGACCAGCCATAACTACATAGTGAGACCCTGTCTCAAAACTAAACAAAAAAATGAAAAAACCCCAACCCAAACCAAATCAAACCAACCAACCCACAAACAAAAAAACCAACCCTCTCACCTTGGCTGCAAGATTTCTCTCTTGCAAACTTGCCCACTGTCCCTCTTGGGAGCCTATTCAGTGATCTAAATAAATTCTTGTCTTTCCTATAGTCCTTGCCCATGGGTAAATTCCTTCACTACCTGTGTCACCACCCTCTAAATGCCCATCTGGCATGGCACCCTGAGTGAGGACATTAGAAGCATGGTCAGCACCCAGGCTAACCTACCAGAATTCTGGATTCCAGAATTCCCGTTTGTTTAGCCAGTTTTTTCCTGGTAGCAGGATCAGGGAATGGGTTCTTCTCAAAGGCTTGACCTAGGATCCTTTTTTGAGTTGTTGTGAGGGCCATCAGCTCTTGGCTGGCTTTTGTTAACCATTCTAAAGGAGAGCACAGGAACAAAAGAGGGTTTTAGGCCAGTTTTCATATTCAAACTGTAATGCTGAACACTTTTACTCTTGGAATCCCCCTGAGGGGACACAAGAGGGAGTCCCTGTGCTGCTGGGCAGCCACAAACCCCAAACAGCCAAAGTCTTGCTTGCTAAGAACCTGCCTGTCCCAGCCAACTGCGGGGCAGCATATATATACACATACACATATATATACATATACATACACACACACACACACATACACATATTTTTTTGGTACTGAGGATTGAACTTGGGATCTTGCACATGTGAGGCAGGTGGCGGCACCACTGAGCTAAATTCCCAGCCCCAGCATATATATTTTTGACACTAGAGTACCCAGAGCAAGCTATAACTGGCTCATAAGCTAAGGAAACTTTATGGAGAGTCTGGGTACAACATGCAATCATTTCTACTCTCCATGAGCCCCACTGAGGAGCTGTTTAGACCACTGGGCTCTCACCTTGAGTCCACGGCTTCGCCTTATCATGTTTCAGGGATTGACCTTTTCTTAAGGAGCATCTAGATCTCAACAGCTTCCATCTGTGGTTTTTAAACCAATTCTAAGTAAGAAAAGATGTGAAAGTAATGTAACTCAGTCTGTCAGTCAATCTGTCAATCCAATTAAACCAAACTGATTGGACCAACTGCCCTTGAAATCTAGGAATAGTGCTACTGTTGACACACAATTCAGAGGCACACAGGGACTGCACACAACTTATGTGAGCATTTCTCTTATGATCATCTCAGGAATTTCTTTCAAAGAAAACCTCTGTTTCTTTCTTTCCTAGGACTTCAATGTTGGAATGCCTTTTATTGGCCCCATCATAACTTCAAAGGAAATGTCACTTCATAATATATAATACATGTGGAATTGATCATAAAGGGACATCATTAAATAGGATGGCAGTATTAGTCACACTAAAGAGCTGGGCTAACATCCATATTTGCTCTTACTTATTTCATCCAAGGGTCTGTGACAGACAAGGAGACCCCTAGGGAGTGAACATCTCACTTTGTCACTATTGTCACTAACATAACTTAACCAGCATCTCAAAACGGAACTTCAGGCTGGGGAATGGTGACACATGCCTGTAATTTCAGCAATGAAGAGATTGAGGCAGGAGGATCACCATGAGTTTGAGGCCAGCCTGGGCTACATAATGACTTCAAGGTCAGCCTGGAAGACATAGCAAAACCCTGTCTGAAAAAATAAATAAAAAATTAAAATGAAAAAAGGAACTTCAGAAGTTAGCTTTTTTTTCCCTTTAGACACAAGTGGCTTCTCCAAACTTCCTCAGGCATAACAAATAAATCACCACCCCATCCTCACCTCTCAGCCCAGAGAACTGATCAGAATTTGCAGGTGCTGGTGCCAGGAGGTCAAAGTCCAATTTCATTCCCCCAGGGAAGAGGGGGAAGATGATGGGTGGGGTCCAGGAAGGGCTGAGCCTGAGCCGAACCTTGACAGGTCTATTATCTTATAGCTTTGCGTGAATCCTTTTTAACAAAATAAATGGCCACCTTTGATTTAGTCAGCAGTGAGCAAATAAACATGCTTATGAGCCTAAGCAGGCAGTAACACAACCATCTGAAATCTTTGGTTATTTCCTCATTCCTGGAGTGGGAACTGCAACATGCTTTCTAATTATTTCTGAGTGTTTCATTTAGATAATTGATAATCCTTGAAAAGATTTAGGATGTTAATGACAACCAGTACCTGATGAACTCTTATATTTTATTCATTTTATGTCCTTTCTAAATTAATTAATTAAGATATTTTCAGATAGATCTTAAGCACACTGGAAATGGGAGACTAATAAATAGATTAGTAAACAGAATGGGAGAACCAACTCATCCTACATTGTCTCCTGGACTTGCTGTTCTCACCATTAGTTCAAATGGGCCCAATACCTCTCAAAACCGATCGCCAGATATTCCTATAGGGTGTACTTTCATTAGGGAGATCTGAAACAACTGTCTTGCACACCCAGTTCAGATACATAAAGAGATAAGTAAAACATCTTCTTCCTTATATCCTCTTAGACCTCTTGGCCTTTTCAGCCAATGGCTTACTTGATGAAAAAACAAAACTCTCGATTTTCCTCTAAAAACACATTCTTACTTGATCTTCATTGTTTTAAACTGTTTCCACCTGGTATAATTATATTCTTTTTAGAAATCATACTCTTTTTGATAGCTGAAGACATTAGTTTCATTTTATACCAGTAATTCTATTCTAAGTAATTCATCATGGGATTTTACTTCAAACATTGTGTATTAATTACTTATGAGACATAACATTTAAAAAGAAAAAACTAGATTCAGAGTTGGGAATTTACACAAGCTCTTATCCCACAGTTCCTTTGTTACAACATATTAGTCATTTTTCTGTAATATATATTCTAATATTTAAGGACATCACATCAATATCATAAGGATCCATTCCTACATTCTCTTAATTGCAAGATATGATTTGCTGAGGCAGTAGGATTGCCACAAGTTCAAGGCCAGCCTGAACTGCATAGGAAGACCCTGTCTCAAAAAAAAAAACCCCGGGGGTTTAGTTCAGTAGCTCAATGGTGTTGCTGCCTAGCTTGCAAGCGCAAGGTCCCGAGTTCGATCTCCGGTACAAAAAAAAAAATCCAATCATTTCAAAATGTAGTTTAACAGGTACGGTCTTAGCTAGTATATTCTCCCTTTATCAGTAAATACCCACCAATGATATTTCTACCTTTGGTGAAAGATATAAGTGGTTCTTGTTATTTTTTGTTTTTAGAATTATAAGACAGGAGAAAAATCTTAGTGAAGTATGTGACATCACGATAACTGCCTGAAAGTGCTGAGCCTAGCTTTTCTCTTCCCCATGGTGCTGACAAGAGAAATCTAGTGCCTACCTTAATTTTAGATGCTGGAACACCAATTTCTTGGGCCAGTTGTTCCGTGGTAACTTTATCCGGGTGAGGATTGTGTTTAAACCATTCTTAGGAGGGTCTCCTTTTGGATATGGTTGTAAACTATCTTGCCTTTCCAGATTTCTTTTTCTTTTTCTTCTTTTGGTAGTGTATCAGATGAAGAGAGAAGGGGAACATTTGAACAAAGGATATATTAATGGGTTCAAAACTGCGGTGTGAGCATGTCTTATGCTGGTCTCACGTTGAAAGCCTGTAGATCCACTTATTACTCTATTTTTACCATAAGTATACAGTAAAGCCATGCTACATTGGACATATTAAATAATCAAACATATATTAGGAAAATGATAATCAATTATCTAAGTTTCCAAAGCAAAAGCATATAGAAATTTACCATGAAAATAGGAAACAACCAGAAGGAAGAAAACTAATGATAATAAGTAAAACTCATGAGACAAATGAAAAAGTTAAACAAAACACTGGTCCTTTGTAGTGAAAAATAATGCATTTTAACAAAATTAAATAGTACATACTGGGTGGTCCATGTATTTTCTTTCCCCTCCACTTTTAAGTGTTAACTTTAAAACTTTTGGTTGATGATCCACATATGGTACACATGGCTGCCACTTTACATCTGAGATTCAAGTTTTCAACTTCAAAACTCATCGATCCCTTAACACAGATCCCTTTCTCCAACTGTCTCTCTAATTGTGTTTGTACTTTAAATTGAAAAGTAGACAAGGCATCTGGCATTATCAAAGCATAGAGCAAAAGAGCTGCTGAGAACTTACTGCTTGGAGGGCTGTTCAAGTCCATGGCGGGAAGGGATGCAGACTGGAGTGGGAAGACTAGGCCGCTTAGCTCCTCCCAGAGACACAGGATTTATCAAAGCCCCGGCTGATCCACCCCTTTCTTTAAATACCTTTCTATGTAATCCCTTCATTAAATATTTAACGCTTTTGTAAAGGAACTTGAAGCAACCTTCAGTACAGTCTCCGTTAGAGTAGCCCATGAGGTAGGCCTGGGCTGGAGTGGGTGCTGGCAGCTGCGCCAGGAAGGAAATTCTCCAACAGAAGGTGATGAAGGAGGAGAGTTGTAAGTTTTGCAGCTTCCTCAGAGCGGCTCATCCAGCTTCCTGCAGAATCTCAGCTTCCTGTGTTGCGGAAAATTGGGAGTCGAAATGATCTTCCAGAGACAGGAGAGTTGGGTAAAATAAAAAAAGAAGTTTATTGCTAGGTAATGGCCAGCCTCAGAAAACGAGTCCTTGTAGACTGGCCTCAGAGTTAAGGCAGTTTCTCGTTTTTATATCTTGGTCATAGCCTGCAGGATAGCTTAAATTGCGGTTATACAGAATGTAGCAAGGGTGTGGTAAAGCATGGTTTTCAATATAGACAAATTTCAAGGCTGGTTTCTAATCTTTCCAGAAACAGGCTGCCCCATGAGAAGGGGAAGGCCCACCCGGAGTTTCTAAACAGGGACAAGTTGACCCAGACGGGGTTTCAGGGGTAGCCCACACAAAGTAAATAAACAGTGCATTAAGCTGACACAGAGTTCATGAACAAATATTTTACGGTAATTATACTTTCCAAGTTATGTTTGGCAGCTCTTTCTACCTCACCTGAGCTTGTGGTCTGTCAGTTTGCTGAGAAGAGATAAGGAACCCCTGTAAGGAAAAAGGGTGAGAAATGGAAGCATCAGGAAAAAGAATTGACAGGACAGGTTTTGTTGGAGTTAAAATCTGAGAGGGACTGTTACCTCATGGTGGATTTAGTAGATTCCAAGTTCTTGTGTATGGCAAGCAAAGAATTACAAAGTGTACACTTGATGGTGAGGGAAAAGCAGCTATGTTTATTGAAGGTTATGAACAGAGAAATGGTGCTGGGGTGACAAAAAAGCACTCTGCACACCATGTAGATGAATCAGGCTCAAGAGTGAAAGAGGAAAAAAGAGACTGCATGTGCTTTGGTGTGGGGTTGTGTGGAAAGCTCCAAAGGTGGGTGGAGGGGAGTGAGCAGGGAGGGATTGCCTTATGGTGGTGCTTGAGCTTAACTGGGTAAAGGGGAGTGAATTCCTCCGCCACCAATCTCCTATGTAACAAGGCGGTTGGCAACTAGACCAGACTGGTGAGGTCTCTCACAGGATATGGGGATTTTATAGGGTTGTAAGAGGAAGTTGTAGCTATTTTTGAGATGTAAGACCGAGGGCCTTACCAAACACTCCGAGGAGCTGACTGTAGTGAAGAACACCCAGGAAGGAACACACCGGACAAGTTGGAAAGTAAAACAGACCTTTATTAGTCTGGCCAGATGGCACTCCCAAAGCAAAGTAGCTTAGAGAGGCAACTGGCTCAGAGTCCGAGGCTGTTTTTATAGGGGGTTGCAAGGGAAGTTGGCAAGCAGAACTTACAGAAAAGAGAAAAAATGTTGATGGTCAAAAGATGTTTGCAGATTGTCTTATAGATAGCTGTGTCCGGAACATTGGTCTCGGACAAACAAGGAGTTGGGTAATTCACTTAGGAACTCTATGTTTGTTACAGATTTTATCTAGTGTCCCAGAACTAACAAGCACATTTTTTTTTTTTTTTTGGTTTTGGCCAAACTTTTTATTTAGTATTCTGTAGTTGTTTAACAGACACTGAAATGGTCTTACTGGGGGAAGGGGAAGGGGAGGCTCTTGCAGATTCCCAAGGA